AAAAAGAAATTTTGCCTACTCCCAAGTTACTTAGATATTGTCCTTTAAAAAGATTGATTGTTTTAACTTTTAGATTAAGGTCTTTGATCTCTCTTAAATTATTTTTTGGGTATGGTGTGAAGTAGGAGTCAAGGTTCATTTATTTTCATGTGTATGTCCAGTTAGTCAGACTGAGGCAGGTTAGAACAAGCACCCACCCCAGGGAGGCTACTTATGAATATTCAGACTGAACAAATACTAGTTCAATCAGTTAATGCAGTTAATGAGCCCATAATGAGCTACCACCTGCCAACAGCAGCTTAACAACCCTTAATCATTCCATCAATCATCTTGCCCTTTTTCAGAACCCTGAGGTTTTCTGAACAGAAAACAAAACCACAAAGGCCACANTCTTGCCCTTTTTCAGAACCCTGAGGTTTTCTGAACAGAAAACAAAACCACAAAGGCCACAACACCTGCTGGCACATGCACACTAAGCTGTAGGATGACCTTATATGAACTCCCACACATGGCACTAGACCAAAAAGGGCAAACTTCAGGGAAAATTGACTCCACTGGGCATGAGCTTTTCCTCCAGAGCGCCTCACTGAGTATACAAGGAAGCAAAAAGAACTTGCACCTGCAAAAAGCACCAAAACCTCCTTTATCTCCTCCTTTACCCTGAATATTCCTCCCCTAATTAAGATAGAGACCCTCCCTCTCATAAGAAATCAAGATATAAGCCCTCTCCCTGAAAAATCACAGGGTGCTCCTCACGAGGATGCCCACACACTCTTTCATGTGTACTTTCTCTTTGCAATAAACTTAGAGTGTAAGTGTGACTCTGCTATGTGAGCTCTGAGTTACTGTGGGTTCTCAATGGGATTCTTCTCCAGGGAAGTCCAAGAACCTTCATCTCTGGCATCAAGACCATATTTTTAAAAAGACTTTTCTTTCTTCCACAGGATTGCTTCTGTGCCTTTCTTAAAAACCAAATTAATGTTTAAATGGAGGTCTTTTTCTGGACACTA